TATTCCTATATATGTTTTGCTAATAATGTTGACTACAGATGAACAATGTTGATGTTTTTCTTGCATTTTGCTATTTCTTACACTGTTAGGGTGCTCCTAAGGTAAGAGTTTTACTGCAATGTTTTGTTTTCAAGGGCTAACACTTTAAAGACTGTTTTGTGTGCTTTGGAAACTGCTTTTGGAAGAAGTGAAGGCAACTACTTATTCCTTTGTTTATTGCCTGAGTTTAATAAAGAGGCATACAGCATAGATTTACAGGAAGGATAAAAATAGGCCAGAACTTTTATGCTTGGAATGCTTTGTCCTGATCAGTATCATTTAGTTTATGAAATGCATTAACTCCTGTCTTCTGACTGTTCGGGCCAACTCACGGTGAATCAGATATTTCCATGAAAAGCTCTATGGATCACAGACACATCTAGACCCACGCTGGCTCGCGGGAGAGCGTGCTAGGCTGCTTGTGCCACGTGGCCCTGTACGGGATTCCTGATCACAGCAAGGGGTTGGCAACAAGAATCAACATACATCAGTGTTTTGTGGAAACAACACAAAATATTGCCCATACTGCCCATACAGCCCTGTAGGAAAGGACCTTTCTGTGTTCTCCAGTATAACTTGCATCATCAAATGCTTTCAGTTATGACACCTCTTAGTGCTGGCGTTATCAGTAGATGGGCAAATGTTTCATTCCCAAGTACAAGAAGTACCAGTGAAAGCCTTGATAATGACTGGCCTAGGACTCTGTCAAAAGAGAAGAACAAAACCTTTTAACCTCTTTCCTTTCCTCTAATTTAAAGGGATAAACATCACCTTGTTCCTTCTGCTTATGTTACTGTTCTGTAGTATCTAAACCCCATGGCTTTCACAAGCTTCTCCTATCTAAAATTTCCCTTTCTCTTTTGTAGTGGTCTTCAGTCTGGAAGAGTTAGCTGTCTCATGAGGCACTTGATGTTTAGAAGTAGACCTATTTTAAGTTACAGATTACCAACTGAGATGAGCACGGAGTAGAATAATGCAAGTAGCTGAGCTATCAGTACCTGTATTTCTGGTAGATGCTTGGATACCCAAGGAAGTTAGGAAAGGAGACAGCAGAAGGGGAATACTTCAAGTCTTTAAAAATGAGAGTTGCCTCAAGGTTAGAGTATTTCGTTAATAAAGTTGAACAATTTTCCTCAGGTGAGTGTTATTAGCATTGCATCAATGCATATTCTGTAGCTATCTGGATAACATATAGACCACTCATAAGAAATTACAATAATGACAAAACATCCAATACGGGATTTTTGGACATGAATCATGTACCGTGTGTACTTAAAGAAATAGAAATACAATAGAACGTTATAACTAGTCACTCTAAAACAACTGTTTTGGTAGAGAGACATGTTATATAGGTGGCCATGTAGCACTTGGGAACCAGATTTTTCTTTTTATCAGCTACTTATATGGGTTTATTTATTTATTTATTATGGTACAAAATGAAATTTTATTTAAAAGATGGGGATTCTCTTGATGGGAATGTTTTCTGCTTAGGTTAAATAACTTCTGGGTTTATACATATATTACCCAAAGTTGGATAAAAAGACTCTATGTACTTAGAGCAATGCTTTCTGGGAAGAATATTCTAACTAAAATGTTGAATGCATACAAACACTTTACATATAATTATGCATCCACAGGAATTAATGTTTTTTAGCATGAGTGTTGCTGAATAAAAAGTATCAGTCAGAGTATCAGTCATTCATATGGCAAAGCGGGAAAGGCCTCTGCAGGGTGTACCTCTACATCCTAGTTGGGCAAAGTGGAATATTCCAAAGAGATCTGTAACAGGCTTCTGAAATAACTGCCTAATTTAAAACTTTAAGTCCTGAAAAGACTTTTTAAGGCCTTTTTTTGTTTGTTTTATTCTTTTTGGTGATTTTTTTTAATCCTATATAGATGTTTAAGTTTTGTGGTGTCCTCCAATCCCCAATGACAAGAGTTTATATTTATTTCCATCCACCACATCTGTCACATGAACATTTTTAACAGTGTGTATTTGTTCTTGGAATATGAGTTTATAGAGTGTGGGGTGTAACTTGAGGATTTAGTTGAAAAAAGTTAATAGATAACAGCCGTGATTTTAAAAAAATATATGACAGGATATCCAAAATATCCAGAATATATGGTTTTATTTCTGATAAATCATTGCTTTCTAATGCAATCAGATAACACTATAATGTATGAGAAGACAAAAAGGAGTGGTTTAAAGGCATTGCTTTGATATTATAGGTTCATTTTTTGAACAAAGCAAACAAGATAAACAGTATTGCAAATGTAAAATTTTAATCTCTTGTGACTACAGGAGTTTAACTGGAAAGTTATTTTCAAAGAACGGAGAAACAGTCTAGGTCAAAAAATTCAGAACAACTTTTGGTAGCCAGTTAGACTGGCCTTCACTACTTGTATTCAGAAATGAGCCATGTACAGTTGTCTTGTACCACACTTCTGTCCGACAGCCTCATCTTAATCCTGTCCCAGGTTAACTTGTTATGTTCTGCTATTTCCTGTTTTGAAAGCTGTCCCTGTTGGTTTCCTGTCCAGGAAAATGTCCTCTTCTCTAGGATACTGGTGGCTTATAAATTCTTGAAAACCATGTGGTGTTCTACGAAATGCTATTGTTTGTGATGCCGCGTGGTGTTTGAAATGGGAGAGAAATCCTGCCAAGCAACACAGCGGAACTGATAATCTCACAGAGTGTTTATCTCTGACAGCAGGCACAAGAGCAGAACTTTTAAGACCAAGTTTCAAGTAAAGTCCTTCTTTATTAACTGCACCCATTCCCTGTCATCTGGGATAACAAGACGGGTTTCCACAAAAACTGAAAATGAAAATGCCCTTGTGAAGCTTTCTGGTGTGTTTGGATCCACGAAGACTTCCGTAGCCTGGATAAGTGAAGGTGCTTGGAGAGGTGGATTTAGCAAGGCAGGACTGTGGGAATGTCACTAACGCTAACAAACCTCCTGGGCATGAGGAGCACTGGAGAGCACAGAGGGAGCTCGGGACTGTGCGGTCTCCCCAGCTCGAACTCCCCACTGTCCTCGGGAAGTAATTGCAGCAATAGTTGGGTAATGCTGTGTTTGAGCTGATAAACCTCTCTTTATGAAGAGCCAGCATGGAAAAACAGCTGCATGTGTAACCTCATTTATCTGCA